ACTGGCAGCTTACAGTGTTCGAAAGACAAACAGCTGTCATGCGCTTTCTCTTGTAAAAAAAATGTGTCACGACCGGTGCAGCAAAAACAGTAGGCATTTACTGTTGTAGGCTTTATAAATGTTATTTCGTTCAGTTGAAACCTTTGCTGTAATGTGATAAGCAATTCCTGGGTGCAATTGTCTTTTCATTTCTGCCTTTAGTGTTGAGCTGTTTATTGTATATTTAGTTTTTTGCTTCGACATTTATGTTAGTTAACTTTTTGTGTTGTCTTAACTATTATGAGCTGTAGCAAGTCTGCTGGTCATCAGCAAAGGCTATTCGCTTTATTGTAGTTCAGTCATGGAAGCCATGAACCCATTTAACGTGTTCGTTTTATCGTTAATTTCTATTCCTTTTTGTCATCAATGAAACTTTGATTGTTATTAGTAGCAGCAGAGCTAAAGAGCTAAGTTCGTCAAGAGAAGTACATCCACCTTACCTATTTCTGACGCCAAGCAGTATGAGTATTACTGCGTTCCGGTTTTGAAGGGTAAGGGTGAAATTACAGGCATATGGAACTTGTCAACTTATATCTCAGAGTGACAGGCAGTGACCCTCAGATTTTTGAGATTTAAAATTTTTAGTGGTATGACAACTGTTATGGGCAGGCGTGTTGCTTACCACCAGGAGCACGACTTCTTCGTTCCGTCACTTGATATGATAAAACTAAAATCAATAAAAAATTTGCCTAAAACTACGAATTTAACCACTTTCTTTTCGCTTTATGTAAAAAAGTTTAGACGGCAAGCAAAGTCATACAAATAATATTTATTATAAAAAGAATGATTTTTCAGTTCATTCATTTATTTGTAGTGTCGTCATTAATAATGAAAATTTCAATATTATCGTTTCGCCTTTTCATAGTTTACATTATTTTCTCCATTCATATTCTGCTTCAATTCATTGCTTTGTTTCTTTTTGTTTCGATGATATAATCAGCGATCTTCGTCGGTTTCTTGGCCAATCTGATTATCATTTGTAATTATACGTTTTCAAGGATTTAAGTCTTAGAATAGTAACAGATAAGGATCGGGAGGTATAATGATTAACGAGCTGGTTCTACATTTTTCTGATTTTGCCTTTTGAATTTCACCTCAGATTGTGTTTATTGCCTTTATTTGAGTGCTAAAATCAAGAAAAAATACTGAAGTGTATGCTAAACAAGCTAGGGAGACAGAATCGGCTTGAACCAGACCGAACAAGCTTTGTTACACAATGTCTTTTTCGCACTTATTGTTTAGACACAAGGTTTTTCAAGTCGGCCTAATGCCATTTAGCATCGGTAAGTGCGGTGATTTTATTACGCTAAACCTCAAGTGAAATCCTATTGAAATATTGCCACGAGGTTTTGTTTCAATTCAGTTGGACATTGGTAAAAGAATAAAGATCCAGGAGAATCATTCGTTAGCCCAAAATAGAACTTTCTAATCGAAATTTGGTAAATATTTCTTTCTTCAAAATGCCACATGTAGCTTCAATATCTGAATATAGATTTTCATAATGTTATCTTTAACAAAGCAATTTTACCAAAGCATCTTTTTCGAACTACCAAATATAGTGATGCTAAGAGATGATGTAATTGACAATAAACAAATGAATGCCTAATTGTTAGACGTATGTCTCTTCAATGGAGTATCCGATGAAGTGCAATTATAGGTTCTCATTTTCAATAATCAACTATTTCTGAGGCAGAGGGCTCAGCTTACATTTTGATGCAGAACCAATTTTCAGAGAGTAATTTCTTTTTTATTTATGCGAAGGAGAAAGCAAACAATGGACAAGCCACTTGTTGAGAGGTGGTCATCGTCAGTACACGGACATTTGCAAGACCAGGAAGGTGCCTGTAACTTACGTTGCCTGCCTTTGACAACCTTGTTTACTCGCATTTGGACGAACCTAAGTCATGGCGTAAAGAGAACACTTCAGGAGGGAGTTTTTATTACACATTTGCACAATCGAGGAAATTTATAAACTTAATTTGGGCCTCAAGGTTGTCAGATCCTTAAAGCAGTGTTTTTTCAATTCGTTACTCTGGTAATCTTAGTATAGGCAACATTTTAGTTTAACATCAGGAACATTTTGTTTATGTAATTAGCTCAGTTCCAAGTTTGATGTCTGTGTAATTTTGTGCCAATCAAAAGTTTTTTTAGGTCACTGACGATATCTGACTAATCTACTCTAATATCCATCGTGTCTTTAGAAACAGTTTTGGTTAATTGAGAAAATATTTTTAGGCCATTTCACTCGAAAAGAGAGGCATAGCCAGATCGAAACGAAAATTATTTAGATCAGGTGGGGGAAAAACTTAACGCCGATTACTGCACCTGCAGGAGACGTGCTCTTAAATAAGATCACATGATAAATTGATACTTTAATGTCTCACGTGACCTCTTAATTGGGAGATAAATTTATTTTCTTCTTCCTGTTCTTCTAAGTATGCCACTTCTCTACGAAGGTTGGCAAACATCAAGGCTATTCTCATTTTTGAAGCTGCCGCACGAAAGAGGAGAGGGAACGTGTGCTACGGTGGAACCAGTCTGTCAGACTCTTCAACTACGAGGATTTTTCTGCCACGACTACGCTTTCCTTGTATTTCTTCCCTGCATTATTAGTTGAAGAATCCTGTATCTACATATTGCCCCACAGCGGACCAAACGCATGCTGAGTTTATAAAATATATTTATAACATAAATTTATTTGCATACCATTAAATGAAATAGTTGTACTAAATGTGATTCATATTAAAAAAAAGACAAAAAGTACTTGCGCATCAAATTTTTTAACCTTACATATTTCTGCCGCCAAGTAATCTGAGCGTTACTGCGTTCCGGTTTTGAAGGTTAAGGGCACTGATGAAATTACAAGCACATGGGACTTGACAGCTTATGTCTTAGGGTGACGGGCGCTGTGGCAGTGCGTCGCAGATTTTTGCTATCTAAAGCTCTGGGCGACACTACAACTGTTATGAACACTTGTTCGGACGAAGACTTGGTATCATAAAAATAATGTAGAAAATTTCATATAATCCGCGGGCTGAGGTGTGTAGTCCAAGAATCTGGCAACGTTTCTTTTTTGGATAACTAAGCTTGACTTCCTTTAGCTAGCTGCCAGCCTTCTGGCCATCGGAAGTCTGTAGTCAATTGTCTTTACGCATCATAAGTGTGACAGAACATTGTTAGGACTTATGATGACGCTTAGGGTGTACCGCAGGGACAATGGCGGAACAAACAACACCAATTTCAATCTTTTCAATGAAGAGCGATGCTCTCGTCGGAGTTGTGCCGGACGAAGTAGATAGTAGATGCTAGTCTCTCTTGAATCTTCACCTTCACTTTTATCTGTTTCAAATAAATAGCAATAGCATTGACTGTAAATAAAAACATCGCGTTCAAAATAAGGATGATTCAAATCATGTTGGAGACTTGTATCTGGACGACAACCTAAATCTTCATCTTATAGTGGATTCCTGGCTACCTGGATGCACCTTGCATTAATACAGTTTGGTGATAATGCAAGGTGCGTCGGTCAGTTTCTAACTGAGTTCTATTCAAAATTTAAATTCAGAATTTCAAGTTTTGAATATCGAAATCAAATAAAACCTTCCACTACATCACCACTAATTACCACTTCGAAAAAAAATCTACGTCTACTAAAAAACGTCTACGTCTACTAAAAATCTAATCTACGGTTGAATTGACCTCCTTTACCTAAACAAGGATAAAACGGTTCATGTTAACGTAAAGGAAAGAGACGACGGTAATTTTAACCGGAATGGCTAAGTTCAGACATTGAATTGTTAGGATCGCTACTTTCTAACGCGTTTACTTGTTGTTATACGTATATGTACTATAAGTACGCTGATATATGTCATTGACTTTGTAACAGTATTATATTTCACGTGTATGAGAAATACATCAATCGCGAAATAAATAACGTCGATTTATTTAGGCTTTTTTAATGCAAGTGTTATTTAGGTGTTTTAAGGGCTTTAAAATTGAATAAGGACACAACCACTTTCTTTTTTAATTTACTCAATTATACTATGTTGAATGTAGAAAAAGTAGAATAGATGTGAAGTGTTATAATATGTTTTAACAACATATTGTAACGTTTTAATTGTCTATGTAATGTAAATAACAATTACTGGCACTCACGATTGTTTTTCTTACATAAAATTACTGTTTTAATGGTTGTTGATATTTATATAAATTCCTACTCTAAAAACTCAAATACCATAGATAACATCATCTATTAAAAAATACTCGTTTATCTGGTGTATTTACGACATACAAATTAATGATGTAACGAATAAGACTATTTGACCCTGAGTTATGAGGAATAGGTAATCCGACATTATTAACTTTGCTTTCGGAATAAAACATAAGTTTCTACGTCATTTATAATGTTTCATTATTAGTATAATCTAGAAATTTAAAGAATAGAAATATTTTACATCACTATTGAAAGCGAATTAGTAAATATTTCTTTCATATAACATGTTTGTATTGCAAAATGGTGTTATTATACATATGTAAACATAATCGTAAGATAATATATTTGTTTATATTCTATGGTATTAGTAATAGGTACCTACTGTTACTTATGCCATGGTAACATCACTATGACTCGTTTGTCAGTCGATAAAAAAGTTCGCAAGACACTTTTGTAATAATAATAATTGAAAGTACTTTAAAGGATGAAATATCTTACAATTCTAATAAAAAACACATTAACTGAAATAAAATGGATGGTCTATAGAACCTATCGATTGTAACAGGACGATTAAGTAAGAGTACACGTTAAAACACCTTATTGAAAGAACTAGCAAATTGAAATTAAGAACGCTCGGCCCGCCACTAATATTGATTCGTTACAAAACAAAGATAAAACGCCTCACCCCGCGCCGGGCGAATCGATCAGCACAGAAATGATAATTGTCGCACACAAAGACTTTACTCACCTAGGACAGGAATGCACACATATAAAACAACAACACTACACTTTATGTCCACAATTGTACACTTTTATCAACACAAAACACTGATTTAGGTCATCAAAGCACAAATTAGAATAATATTTTAAGGTTTTTAAAGGTAATTAGTGGTTTATAATAGGATATTTGACACGGAGACGCGCGCGATTCGGCGACCGCTAGCAAGATGGCTCCGCGTATGCCGCGCGGTCGCCCCCCCGCCACCCCGCGTACGTGCAATGAAAGATAGGTAGCCTGTTTACAAGGCAGTGAAAGAACGCGGACCGGTCTCGCGATACATTTAATATGGGCATGAGTGGCTTTTGTTGTTATTGTGTGGGTTTGTGGGAAGTCAGTTTTTGTATTTAACGATGTTGTTGTTGGACTGTTTGAGGTGTAAAGGCCTTTTTTTTAAATACATTATCTATTTTAAATAAAGTGTTGTACAAAAATGCTTTTCTCCCGTTCCCTAATTTTCTATTATTATTATCATTAGTTTCTTTTGTTCATTCTAAAATGTATATATAATATAATAACAGAATACATTGTGTTTCTTTAGTACTTACTTTTCTAAGCGCATATTTTACTGTATATACTAGATCTTATTAGATCTTACTTATGTTATAAGATTGTATATTTATAATTTGTATTTTTTAATTTTTTTTAAAATTTGTAATGTAGTTTGTAATAAATAATAAGAATAAACAACTTCAAATTTAATCATATTCATGTAAGCATATTCACTATCAAATTAAATGCTCAGAAAAGTAGATTTACGACCTATCAAATTCCCAGACAAATCCATCCGACGAATCTCATGTGTATCAAACACTGTTCTTTCCCTTCACACCGCTTTGCCCGTGCTGAGATCTGCCCCCCGCAGCCTTCCTCTGCCTACCGACCTCTTATATACTGCTCTCTTTACAACAAAAAAAAACACCAATTTCCCAAATTCCCGATCCGCTCTCTCGCTCGCGGACCTAAGATGGCCGACGGGTTCCATTTTGATTGCAGATTACCGCGTCCCTCGCTCAAAACCTACACGGCGACAGAACAAATGCATGCTGCTCACATAATCAATGTATCATACATGTTTTTAGGCTATTTTTTCCCGTCCATTGCAACCGTAGCATTACTTTTCAATTACAATCTCTCTGAAATGTTCTAATAGGTAGTTTTCGATGTTAAATATGGAGAGTTAAGTCAGTATTTAGAGTTAAACGTTTATATTATCGATTTGAACGGCACGAAGCGGTCAGTAAGAAGTCCGAATGCTTGTTAAAATAGCGGCAATGGTTTTGTCTCTCTCTTTACCTACCTGAGCGACATTTCGTGTTATAGATTTGTTGAGCTATATAACTACAGTTTACTGTTTCTAAGCGTCTCTACGCATAGGAGGGGCATTTAGTTCACCTTTGATATAAACTCAGTTAGTTTTGCATGGAAATACGGTATTCTAATGGTTTATTTTTCGTGTTAAATGATTGTATTTGGTACATGTGTTAATCACATTTTCGGTAAAACTTCAGTTCGGTTAGTCCTTTAAAAGTTAGAATCAGTACTAACTATTAATAGTAGTTTTGTTTAAGAATTCATCATATGGTGCTATTTCATTTTCTGGTTTATATGTAGATACTACATTTATGTTTATATATTGAAGTGCTCATAGAAAATTATAAACGTGTTTTAGCGGTTTATGTATAAGTACGTTTAAGTTCTTATTAATGAAAATGTCTTGGTTTTATTTACGTGTTTATGTTAGTTACTAAAGTCTTAGACGTAATAATATTTTTGTCTGCGGTTGCGGACAAACAACAGAGCTTTGAATATTGTATACGCACACAGTATTATTAAAACAATATTAAATGGCCTACAACCTACAATTATACTTTTATTTTATTGTATTATTTAACTTTCAAACGAGCGACCGTTTCTAAAAGGAGCGTTGTGTTTTAAAGAAGTTAGAGATTGTAGTAAATAATATAAATCCATGAAAATATAACTCCTACATCAACATAGAGATTAGAAAATAAAATAAGTAAACAAAAAGTGTTTTGTTTTTGATTGAATACAACATAAAATAAAATAGAGACAAAGAAAAGACAAAAAACAAAGTACAATAGTCTTTATTTGCTACACGGCAATCTTTTTTTATATTACAACTCCATTTATGTAAGAATAGAATGTTTACCGCTAATTTTGACAACCTCATACAACCGGATTCGACTCCCGAGGGTGGAACTGGGAAACGATTTTTTTTAAATTACTGTTGATTTGTGTGTTGTGGGGAGTCCCTATATGTCGTTGTTCGTAGTATAAGGAATTTTGAGGTCAGTGTAAATGGTGTAGTAGTAAGGTAATAATAAATCGTAATTATTGTAACCGTTTTCTTTTTTTTTATGATACCAACCAAGTGACGGTACGAACAAGTCGTGCGCCCTCGGCACTCACTCATAAGCAACAATCATGTCCATAATTGTTGCAATGTCACTCAGAGCTTTAAACACGGAATAAATGTTCTGTGGCTATAAATCACAAGATCTGAGTGGATCTGCCACAGCGCCCGTCACTCTGAGACATAAGTTAACAAGTCTCACGTGCCGGTAATTTCACCAGCACCCTTACCTTTAAAAGGAACACATTAATGCTGACATTACGGCTTGGCGGCAGAAATAGGTAAGGTGGCAGTACTTCCCTGGACGAACTCTTTCACAGGGAGCTCTATCTATGGCTACTTTCTGTCTATAAACATGGCGTTCTTTCTACTGGGTTTTTAACATCTGGAGTACTACGTAATATCGCACTAAATCAAATTTTACAGGATGGGGATTTTACGTTATTACTTTGTTATTTAAATTTCTACAAATTTCATTTCTGCACAGTAAGTATTAATTCAGGTTGTCTACCGACTAATAACAATAGATTCCGTTAAATCACATTAATTAGGTTGACACGATATTTAACCGGTTTCATTTAACCACTATATTACCGAAATGGAAAGTCATAATCCAATGCTAGTTACGCGTAATTGCTCTATCTCCGATAATATACAAGTAAACGTATATAAGTCATAAATAGTGTAAAAAAATAAGGTCTATTGTTTTCAAAATTATATTTAAAGAACACTTTTTTTTCATTGACAAGGCATCCTTTTTAGATTTTTTTTTAAATATGGTGTAAAAACTAACAGATGTTTAAGTTTTTTCTGTGTTCCATAAACAGATGTTCCGGGACAATGTGATTGATTTATCAAGAAATAACCGAACAAAATTAATTTGTATCTTAATGGAGGACCTTTGAAATCATAATTGAAAGGTTTTTGGCACATTGCTTGCGGTCATAAAGAATATAAAATTGATTGCCTGAAATTACAGGCACGTGGGACTTGTCAATTATATATCTGAGGTTGACGGGCCCAGTGATCTTTTTTTTTACCCAAGTGACGGTTCGGACAAGTCCTGGACGTGATGGTAAGTGACTGTAGAAAACGAGTTGTTCCATTATCATTTGCGTACCAATATGCAGGCTGAATATTCAAAATGTGCCATTCACGAGGTTTAAAACTATAGTGAACCAAAACTCAAGGTTATATATGTATATATAGAGCTTCTGCGTACTTGGATGACAAAATTCCATGGGATGATAAATGTGTACAGTTGCATGTTTACAAAGAGCAATCCCTAGAGTTTCTTGCTCAACGAGCAGTAGAGTTTAATCAAGAGACAAGTGTAATTTGCTTAACTATGAAAATAAAGATTATTTGGGTTTTTTAGTTGTATAATGTATTTATTTTTTTATTTTAGAGGGTACAAACAGCTTGTATCGCAATATATATATATCTTCTTCCTGTCCTTTACCCACGCTAGGTGGGGTCGGCACAACATGTATTTTTCTTCCACTCTCCCCTATCAGCCGTCATTTTTATACTCACACCTTTCTTATCCATGTCATCTTTCACACAATGCATCCATTTTTTCTTTGGCCTTCGTTTCCTCTTATATCCCTCCACATTCACACTCTTCTCGTCACATGACATTCTTACCGCCGCATGACATGTCCATAACGCCAACCTATACAATATAAACCTCATTAAATAATTACAAGCAGAACATAGCAAATAAATTTGTTCTTTTCTCATGTTATATAATTATCTCTACATTACGTACTACAAAACAAAGAAAGTTTGCGTAAAAATGATAATTGCTTTCTAATTATTAATTGCAAAACCTTTATTATTCTCAAAAAAAAAGAAAAGCAGTAGGTATACAACAATCCATTAAATTATATTCCAATTTCAAAAAGTAACGCCATTTGTTTTATGTTGACAACCGTCAATACATATCGAGAAACACATCCATGTAAGAAGGACCCTTACCTTTCCATACATTTACCACTAATCTAATACATTTTTTTCACGGATAGATTAACGTGGAAGCTCACGTGATTTTGGACGACTACCATCCAAATCAGGTAGACCTATGTTAGTTTACTCAAATGTTTAATACGAGACTTAGTACCGTGGCTCAAGATAAATTGGCTCCTTGATTTGTCGTCCAGTTTCACAAGATCTTTAACTGTTTGTTATTATTATGTGTAAATGGTTCAGAGTCAAAGTCCTATTTAGAATGGCCGGTAGGTAAAGTAAAGTGCATTGGCCCCTGCTTCCCGGTGTGATCGAGCATCTTTGAGATGTAATGATTTGTGTTTTGTGTTCTTATCGATTTATTACAATAGATATTTTTTGTACATTTTATGCGTTTTTTTTTTCAAAAGTGTCCTCTATTTCGTATGCGTTACAGTGCACATTCTACCAACGTCAAAAAATAACTAAATTGCGGTCTGTAAATGTGGTTAGAAATTTTGGCACACAATTTTGCAAATAACAATAAATCTGCATAATGTCTCAATAATGGATTACCCAAAATTATGCGATTTTTTATGGAAACGTTGGAGTATTTCACGGATTTATAATAATATGGTAAGTACACCATCACATCAGTCTCATGCTCGGTTAGGCAGAGACCATAAAGCACCATTTGCTTTGCTCTGACGGATATAAATTATGCTTAATATCGATTTATTGTTGATTGCAGAATACATGAATTCCTTTTTTGAACTGCAAATATACTTGTATTTTTTTTTTAATAAAAGCTACAAACATAAATCTATACCATTAAAGTCAACGCAAT